AAGGCTGAGGCAGAAGGATTGCCAAAGCCCAGCAGGTCGGTGCTGGGGTGGCAGTGAGCGTGCTACTATACTCCAGCCTAGGCGACGGAGTGTGACTCCAACTCAAAACAAGAAAAGTGAAATGTAGAGTTCCCACATGATATAGAAATTCTGCTCCTAGTTAGTACCCAAGACTTGCATATGGACGTTCACAGCACGATGACTGTGCAAACCACCCAAGTGTCCATCAGTAGATGATGGGTCAGCACAGCGTGGTCCATCCACATGTGACCTATGACTGAGCCGTGAAGAGGGAGGAGCCTCTGACACGGGCCATGATGTGGCTGGACCTTAAGGATGATCAGCAAGAGGTTCAGACACAAAAGGACACACAGGGTGTGATTCCGTTTCAATGAAATGTTCAGCCGGGCTCGGTGGCTCAGCCTGTCATCCCGCGCCTTTGGGAGGCTGAGGTGAGTGGATTGCCTGAGCCCGCGGGTTCGAGACCCGCCTGAGCAGGCGAGACCTCATCTCTACAATAAAATTTTTAAAATATCAGCCGGGCGTGGTGGCGCGTGCCTGGAATTCCGGCTACTCGGAAGGCTGAGGCTGAAGGATCGCCGGAGCCCAGCAGGTCGAGGCTGCAGTGGCCGGGAGCGGCCACTGCACTCCAGTCTGGGCGACAGAGTGAGACTCCGACTCAAAAAAAAAGAAAAAAAAAAAGAATGTCCAGAGCAGTCCAGTCTACAGAGACAGGATGTGGATTTGTGGGTGCCGGGGGGCTGGAATCCTAGCATTTTGAGAGGCTGGGGTGGGAGGACCACTTGAAGCCAGGCATTCGAGACCAGCCTGGGCAACATAGTGAGGTCCTGTTGCTACAAAAAAAAAAAATCTGAGAGGTTTTAGAGGTAACAGCTAAGAGATGCAAGGTTTCATTTTGGGTTGATAAGAGATATTCTAGGGGTTACATAGTAATGGTGGTTGTACAATTCTGTAAATATACCAAAGCCAGTGAATTGTACACTTTTCGTTTTTTTTTTTTTTTTGAAGCAGGGTCTCTGTCACCCAGGCTAGAGTGCACTGGCACGATCATGGCTCATTGCAGCCTCGACCTCCTGGGCTTCAGTGATCCTCTTGCCTCAGCCTCCCAAAGTGCTGGGATTACAGGCGTGAGCCACCGCACGCAGCCTGTTTCCAGTTTTTTTGACAATACAAACAGTGCAACCTGAGGCCATGTCCCACATATGGAAGAATATTTGTGGGAGAAATTCCTAGAAGGAAAATGGCTGGGGCAGAGTCCAGCTTCATTTTGATTTTGATAGATGTGTCTAAATTGTAGATGTGTCTAAATTGCCTCCTGTGAGAGCTGGGGCAGATTATTCTGCCTTCAGCAATGGAGATGACCGAAGATCTGACTTCTGAGCAGAGATTTGAAGGGTGAGGAGGAAGGATAGGAGAGTCGCAGTGTTTCAGGCTGAGGGTCCGCCCGTGCCAAGGCCCTGGCTGGAGCAGACGGAAAAGGGAAGGCGGGAAGGGGACGGGGCAGGAGGTCGTGCAGGGACTGGTGGACCGCGGGGAGGACTTGGGCTTGGGCCCTGAGGGAGATGGGAGCCATGGAGGGCTGTGGACAGAGGAGGGAGGGCCCGACTCCTTGAGAAGGGCGGTCTGCTGGGATTCAAGACTGCCTATCTGATCAAGCCACGTTGTTCAACTGGACCATAGCGGTGGCCTCTGTTCCCTAACCGGCCTCCTCGCCTCACAGTCTGCCCTCCCAATATAGCCAGAGGGTGCCTATGAGCACCTGAGTCAGACCCTCCCCCGTCTGCCCACAGCCCTCCATGGCTCCCACATGCCTTGGAGTCAAAGCCCACGTCCTCCCCGTGGGCCACCAGGCCCTGCACAACTGCCTTGTCACCTCCCCGCCCCCTCCTTCCTCCCTCTCTCCCCCTCACTCGCTCTGCTCCAGTCACACAGGCCGTGCTACTGTGCTTCCAACACACCAGGTATGGTCCTGCCGCAGGGCCTTTGCACGGGCTGTTTTCTCTGCCTGGGACTTTCCCAGACATCCCCATGGCTTTCTCCCCCCTTCCTCCAACTTTCTGCTCAAACATCTTCCTCCCTGAGGCCTCCTGTAACCAGACTGGTCAAGACAACTCTGAGCGCTTGAAAAGATGGCTAGGCGTGGTGGCTCACGCCTGTAATCCCAGCACTTTGGAGGCCGAGGCAGGAGGGTTGCCTGAGCCCAGGAGTTTGAGATCAGCCTGGGCAACTTGGCAACTAAATCAAAAAATGAGCCGGGCGTGGTGGTGTGCGCCTGTAGTTCTAGCTACTTGGAAGGCTGAAGTGGAAGGATCGTCTGAGCCCAGCAGGTCCAGGCTGTGGTGGCCATGAGCATGGTACTACACTCCAGTCTGGGCAACAGAGTAAGACCCCTAACTCAGAAAAAAAGCAAATATTATTTATATATATATATATATATACATATATATATATTTTTAAATATATATATTTTTTTGAGATGGAATCTCACTCTGTCGCCCAGACTGGAGTGCAGTGGCCGCTCCCGGCCACCGCAGCCTCGACCTGCTGGGCTCCGGCGATCCTTCCGCCTCAGCCTTCCAAGTAGCTGGAACGACAGGCGCGCGCTACCACGCCCGGCTGATTTTTTTTTGGATTTATGGTAGAGATGAGGTCTCGCCAAGTTGCCCGGGCGGGTCTTAAACCCGCAGGCTCAGGCAATCCACTCATCTCTGCCTCCCAAGGCGGGGGATTACAGCCTGAGCCACCAAGCCCGGCTACATTTTTTTTTTTTTTTTTTAGTGGGAGTCTCTGTCGTCCAGGCTAGGAGGTCAGTAGCACGTTCCCGGCCACCGCAGCCTCGACCTGCTGGGCTCTGGCGATCCTTCCGCCTCAGCCTTCCAGTAGCCGGAACTACAGGCATGCGCCACCATGCCCAGCTCATTTTTTGATTTATTGTAGAGATGAGATCTCGCCAAGTTGCCCGGGCTGGTCTTGAACCCATGGGCTCGGGCAAGCCTCTTGCCTTGACCTCCCAAAGTGTTGGGGTTACAGGCGTGAGCCACCGCGCCTGGGAAAACACAATATTTTTATCCTCCCTGTGCTGTGGTCACCACGATGGGAGCTGTGAAGCTAAACTTAGCCCTCCCTACTCGCTGGCATCTCCAACCTGTCCATGCTGTGCCGAGCTCTTTGCAACTCCCGTAAGCCCCCAGGGAGGGAAGTCATGGGATCGCCCCATTGTACAGATGAGGGCACTGAGGCTCCGCGAAGGCTGCTGCTTCTTGAGGCCGTCATCCACAGCTGGATCTGACCCAAGGCCACGTCCTCCCCTGTTCTGCCTGGGGCCCCCTTGCCCTGCAGACTGGTGCCCACAGGGGGCCCAGCGAGGGGACGTGGCCTGGGGTCAGGGATCCCAGGCTTGAACTCAGGGCTGCCGATCTCGGGGCTGCTGTGTCCCTTCAAACAACTGCTCTTCCCAGGGTCTAATTCTGTCATCCAGGCTGGGATGCTGTGACACAATCATGGCTCACCGCAGCCTTGACCTGCTGGGTTCAGGCAATCCTCCCACCTCAACCTCCCGAGTAGCTGGGACTACAGCTGCACACCACCACGCTTGGCTAATTTTTCGACTTTTTGTAGAGACCTGAGGTCTCACCAAGTTGCCCAGGCTGGTCTCGAACCCCTGGCTTCCTACTGTGCCGGGATTACAGGTGTGATCTACCACGCCCAGCTAGGCAACACTCTTTCCACGCCCATTTAGCTGACGTGGAAGTAGAGGCACAGAGCGAGACCCCTTAGAGAGGGTCACACAGCAGGTAGATGGGGCCCTGGCATTTTAGCCTAGACCTCGAGAACTAAAACGCCAGCCCTGTGACATCTGCCATCCTACCCCGCTGCTCTCAGGACAGATGACTCTCCGGGGAAGTGAGGTGACGTTGGCCCATGTTGCACTGCCCGCCAACTTCTGCCTCTGCACCTGGCCTCAGGAAGGGGGCCCCAGCCCCAGCCCGCCTAGCGGGCGTGCACAGCTCCCCTTCCCTTGGGGCTGAGGCCACCCCTTCCCTGGCATCGTGGGGGCCACCCCCTCCATTATCTGAAGGCTCAAAGGCCTGCGGGAGCCATCGGATGTCCAGGCCTCTCTCCCACCCAGAGTGTCACGGCAGGGCCTCTGTGAAGCAGGGTCTCCCGCTGGGCCCTGTGGACATCAGGGCTGGGTGGCTCTCTGGGGTAGGGCCGCACCGAGCCCCGCAGAACGTGAGTGGTGTCCTTGGCCCGCACGCCCTCCATGGCAGGAACAGCCCTGGTCGTGACAACCACACATGTCTCCGGACATTGCCAAATGTCCCTTATGGGAGTCTAATGGCCCCAGCTGAGAACCACTCACTTAGTTCTTGTCCTAGTTTCTTTCTTTCTTTCTTCCTTTTTTTTTTTTTGCAGGGTGCGGTCTCACTCTGTCTCCCAGGCTGGAGTGCAGTGACACTCTCATGGCTACCACAGCCTCGACCTCCTGGGCTCAGGCGATCCTCCCACCTCAGCCTCCCAAGTAGCTGGAACCACAGGCACACACCACCATGCCCGGCTGGTTTTTTGACTTATTGTAGAGATGAGGTCACACCAAATTGCCCAGGCTGGTCTCGAACCCCTGAACTCAGGCAATCCCCTTGCCTTTGCCTCCCAAACTGCTGGGATGACAGGCGTGAGCCACCACGCCCAGCTTTCTCTTTGGTTTTTTTATTTGTTAGAGACAGGGTCTCGCTATGTTGCCCAGGCTGGTCTTGAACTCCTGGCTTCAAGCCTCAGTCTCCCAAAGTGTTGGGATGGCAGGTATGAGCCCCCGTGCCTGGCCCTGTCTTAGTTTCGGACATGCCTTTTGTGAAATCGCCAGGCCTGGGGAGTCGCCAGCACCCCTCCCTTCTTCCCTTTTGGGGCCATCCCTGCCCTCCTCCGTCTACTCAGCCTTCCCCTTCCTCCTCCACGTCCTGTCTTCCCGCCGCCCGTACCTGGGATGAGTTTTCTCTGCGGAAGTCTGACGTGCCTTGAATCAGTAAATACGTCCTCTTCTTGGCTAAGACGTGTTCCCGGCCCATGCAGGACGCTTGCAGGAAGTAGGAGACGTGGCCAAGTTTGCTGGTGAAGGTGGAAGGAAGCCTGGGAGGTAAGTTGAAATGGAAGTCAAAGGTGTGGCTGCCTGCACTTAACCAATTATCTGAAAGCAAAACACACCGACGCCATCAGAAGGTTCTAGCATCTGTCTTTTTTTTTCTTCATTTCCCCCCTTTCGTTTTGAGTCAGGGTCTCTCATTCTGTCGTCCAGGCTGGAGTGCAGTGGCACAATCACAGCTCACCACAGCCTCGGATTCTTGGGCACAAGCCATCCTCCCTCCTCGGCCTCCGGAGTAGCTGGGGCTATAGGGAGGCACCACCATGCCTAGCTAATTTTTAAAATTTGTATAGAGACAGAGTCTCGCTATGTTGCCCAGGCTGATCTCGAACAGGCCAAGCGTTTGAGACTAGCCTGGGCAACATGGTGAGACTCTATCTCTACAAAAAAACAAAAAATCTAAAAACTAGCCGGGTGTAGTGGCCCTCGCCTATAGTCCCAGCTACTTGGGAGGCTGGAGCGGGAGGATCACTTGAGCCCAGGAGGTTGAGGCTGTAGTGGGCTCTGATATTTCCACAGCACTTTGGCATGGGTGACAGTGTGAGACTGTCCAAAAACCAAATAAAATAAATGCATCAGCCCATCTGACACTTCAGGTTCAAGCTTTTGAGGGGGAAATTCAGGCTCTTGGATATGTGAAAAAGACCCAATGCTTGAGGTTGTACAGGGCTGTTTTGGGAGTCACTGGGAGTAGTAGACATTTTTAAGTGCTTACTGTTTGCCTGGCGCTATTCTAAACTATCTTAAATGCCATTAAATCATTAAGTCCTCAACGCATTCTTATGAGGTAAGATCTCTCCTTTCCTTTTTTTTTTTTGAGACAGGATCTTGCTGTGTTTCCCAGGCTGGAGTGCAGTGATTTGATCACAGCTCACTGCAGCCTCAACCTCCTGGACTCAAGTGATCCTCCAGCCTCAGCCTCCCGAGTAGCTGGGGCTACAGGTACCACCACCATGCCTGACTAAGAGACGAGTTCTTACTACATTGCCCAGGCTGGTCTTGAACTCCTGGACTCAAGCAATCCTCCCACCTCAACCTCCCAAAGCGCGGGGGTTACAGACCTGAGCCACCACACCCAACCTCCTTCTCATTTTATAGATGTGTTAACTGAGACCCAGAGAGGTCATAACATGATCGCTGAGTGTTCATGTCTGACATGGGAGCCTTCCTGTCCCTAAGATCTCCACTTAGTCGTCACCTCTTTGGAGACACCTTCTCTGACCATCCAATCTGAAATTTAGAGTCTAAAATTAAACGTTGTCCAGCCTAGTGTTGGCCACGTGTTCTGCTGACCATGGCATACCCGGAAATTTCCCCACAAACGTATTCTGGATAGGACAGAGAGTCCTTGGCAGCTCGGACTCCCTGACATCTGTCCAGTCTTCAGATCAGGACTGGCAAAACTGGGGCCTCTCCATGACCTCCCCAAAAGGTCTCCTTCACGCTTCTGCCTCTACTCTTTTCCTGGGACTACAGAGCTTCCCCCCAGTTTTTTGTTTGTTTTGTTTTTGAGACAGGGCCTCACTCTGTCCCTGGGCTGGAGGACAGTGGCTGATCATTGCTCTCTGCAGCCTTGACTTCCTGAGCTAACAAGCAATCCTCCCACTTCAGCCACCCAAGTAACTGGGACTATCGGCCTGGAGATGGGGTCTCACTGTGTTGCCCAGGCTGGTCTCCATCTCCTGGTCTCAAGTGATCCTCCTACCTCAGCCTGCAAAAGTGCTGGGATTACAAGTGTGAGACACCATGCCTGCCCTGGAATTATTTTATCTCCTTGGGTTTCACTGCCAGAAGAACATTTATTTGTAAAATAACCAGAAAAAAACTCCTTTTTTTATTTTTATTTATTTATTTTTTTTGAGTTGGAGTCTCACTCTGTCACCCAGACTGGAGTGCAATGGCTGCTCCCGGCCTCTGCAGCCTCGACCTGCTGGGCTCCGGTGATCCTTCCACCTCAACCTTCCAAGTAGCTGGAACTACAGGCACGCACTACCACGCCCGGCTAATTTTTGATTTATTGTAGAGATGAGGTCTCGTCAAGTTGCCCAGGCGGGTCTCGAACCCGCGGGCTCAGGCAATCCACTCATCTCGGCCTCCCAAAGTGCTGGGATTACAGGCTGAGCCACAGAGCCCGGCTGCTTCTTCTTCTTTTTTTTTTTTAAAGTCACAGTCTCACTGTTGCCCAGGCTGGAGTGCAGTGGCATGCTCGTGGCCACCGCAGCCTCGACCTGCTGGGCTCAGCCATCCTTCCACCTCAGCCTTCCAAATAGCTGGAACCACAGGCACACGCCACCACGCCCAGCTAATTTTTTTTTTGGCTTATTGTAGAGACAAGGTCTCGCCAACTTGCCCAGGCTGGTCTCAAACCCCTGAACTCTGACGATCCTCTTGCCTTGGCCTCTGTAAGACTTCTTATGGGCCCCTCAGAGGCAGTCATCGGACTGAGCATGGCATTTCCCAAGGAGGCTACTTTGAACTTCACTGGAATATCTGGATTCCCAGGAGGTTCCTAGTGTCTTGCTATTTTTGTGTTTTGTGTATCTGATGGTCATTGTCCTACACGGCCTCCCTCCTAGGGAGCAACCAGGCCTCTGCCTGTTGCTGATTTTTCTAGGGGGTTGTTGATAGACTATTGGATGTGTTTACTTCCCAGACCCAGGTTCCTATGATGGCTGGAGCTGGCCGCTGGCCTCATCCTTACCCTCCACCGGGAAGGTCTTTGTCTTATGTACATAGTCTGCCTTGTTGTTGCAAATCACATCCCTGCTGTAATCGCGGGACTCCCCGACTTCCTCGCTCCATTCGACGTAACCCCTTCCCACGAGCTCCACCTTCACGATGGGGTCCACCAGAGTGCTGTTCAGGGTTAGAATCACCTGCCCGTCCACATTGGAGCCGGCCAGGTAGACTGCATCTTGGGGCAGCACAAATTCGAGTGACTTCACCACTGACATGGGGGGTTGGGGAGGTGGAGAAACATCCTTCCTCCACCCCCATGCTACTAGGACTCCCGGCTCCCTCACCGTCGTCAGGCCATCCATCTATGACATCACTTCACCCAGAGTTCCAGGAAGAGGGACCCTGGTGGCCACAGGAGGAGGCAGGGCTATTGTTTGGGTCACTTGGGAATCTTCTAGTCCTCACTCCCTTACTTATTTCCTTGTTTTTTGAGGCGTGGTCTTCCTCTGTCAGCCAGGCTGGAGGACAGTGACACGATCACAGCTCGCTGCAGCCTCCACCTTCTGGGCTCAAGCGATCCTCCCGCCTCAGCCTCCCAAGTAGCTGGGACTACAGGTGCATGCCACCATGGCAGGCTAATCTCACTGGTTCTTAAAATAGAATTCTGGCCGGGCTCGGTGGCTCAGCCTGTAATCCCACGCCTTTGGGAGGCTGAGGTGAGTGGATTGCCTGAGCTCGTGGGTTTGAGACCCGCCTGGGCAGGCAAGACCTCATCTCTACAATAAATCAAAAAATTAGCTGGGCATGGTAGCACGCGTCCGTAATTCTGGCTACTCGGAAGGCTGAGGCGGAAGGATCGCCAAAGCCCAGCAGGTTGAGGCTGCGGTGGCCGGGAGCAGCCACTGCACTCCAGTCTGGGTGACGGAGTGAGACTCCAACTCAAAAAAATAAATAAATAAAATGGTGTGTGCATTTCTCAGATCAGCACCTTGGTTTGGGGTCATAGAGAGACAATCATTTTCATTCTACTTTATTATTCATTTTATTTATTTATTTATTTGATTTTTTGAGTTGGAGTCTCACTCCATTGCCCCAGCTGGAGTGCAGTGGCCGCTCCCAGCCACCACAGCCTCGGCCTGCTGGGCTCCGGCGATCCTTCCGCCAGCCTTCCAAGTAGCTGGAACTACAGGCGTGCGCTACCACGCCCGGCTCATTTTTGATTTATTGTAGAGATGAGGTCTCGCCAAGTTGCCCGGGCGGGTCTCGAACCTGCGGGCTCAGGCAATCCACTCACCTTGGCCTCCCAAAGCACTGGGATTACAGGCTGAGCCACCGAGCCTGGCCTTATTCATTTATTTAACTACTTATTTTCGAGACAGGGTCTGTCGCTCAGGCTAGAGTGCAGTGGTACGATCACAGATCACAGCAGCCTCCAACTCCTGGGCTCAAGGGAGCCTGTCGCCTCAGCTTCTTGAGTAGCTGGGATTACAGGCATGCACCACCCCACTTGGCTGCTTTTCATTTTGATTTTTTTGTAGAGATGGGGGTGTCATGATGTTACTCAGGGCTGGTCTTGAAGTGCTATGCTCAAGCAATCTTCCCACAGCGTTGGAATTATAGTTGTGAGGCGCTGCGCCCGGCCCTTTTTATTTTAATGGCTTTCCATGTATCAGTCTGTATTAGAAAAAAAATTTATAGATATATGACCAGGATGCGAAATCCAGTGTGTATTGAAGACACTTAAAGCAGCGTGTACCCAATTTGAACACTGTCACCATCATGAAGCACCCTCTCCCTGCACGGCTGACATTTTTCTTCATGCTTTGGGTCTCTCTTGTGGGATGGGAATTCCCTCCAGGTTGAGATCTGTGTCCGTCGGTTTTGTGTTCACCTCTATCTGCCTGACCCACAGTCTGGCTCAGACATGTGGAGGAGGCCTCAATAAACGTTTGTTGAATGACTCAATGACCTCTGAGAGTGTATCATTTTGCAAAAGAAAATCTGAAGCTCTATGCACCCTGGCGGTTATTCCTGGTGCCGGATTTGCCTAGCGGGGAAGGACACTGAGGCAGAGGCAGTATCTGAAAATACCCAATCACCAGAGTGGCAGGCTTCATTTTCTTTGTTGTGTCTTCATTTGATGTGATAGCTTTTTTTTTTTTTTTTTGAGTCTCACTCTGTCGCCCAGACTGGAGTGCAGTGGCCGCTCCCGGCCACCGCAGCTTCGACCTGCTGGGCTCTGGCAATCCTTCCACCTCAGCCTTCCAAGTAGCTGGAACTACAGGTGTGTGCCACCACATCTGGCCAATTTTTTGATTTATTGTAGAGACGAGGTCTTGCCAAGTTGCCCAGGCTGGTCTCGAACCCTGGGCTCAGGCAGTCCTCTTGCCTCTGCCTCCCAAGGTGCTGGGACTACAGGTGTGCACCGCCACACCTAGCCTTTTTTTTTTTGAGACGGACTCTCACGCTTTCCCAAGCTGGAATGCAGTGGCACCATCAGGGCTTGCCACAGTTCGACCTCCTGGGTTCAGACGAGCCTTCCACCTCAGCCTCTCTAGCAGCTTGGATTAAATGCATGTGCCACCGCACCCAGCTCATTTTAAATTTCTATTAGAGACAAGGTCTCGCTATGTTGCCCAGGCTGGTCTTGAACTCCTGGGCTCAGGCGATCCTCCTGCCTCGGCCTCCCAAATGACTGGGATTACAGATGTGAGCCACCACACCTGCCATCTCAAGGCCTGTTCTTCAGGATAAGCTAGATACGTCTTCCTGTGTTGCTTAACTTAGCTATCCAGGGTGCCTGGGCTGGCCCCCTGCACCGCATGGACAAGAAGAACATGCTCAGCCATGTTGCCTGGCCCCTGCGGCTGGGGCTGTCGTTTGAAGGAGCTCGCCTCACACACTCAGGGGGGCCTGCTTGTTTCCTGCTGGCACTTGTGGCGTGGTTCCTGCCTGGCTGCTGACGGAGGATTTAGACTATGTTCAGTAGCACTGACCAAGTGCTGAGGTTAGAGACAGTCCACAGCACCAGCCGGGCTTCATGGATTAGAATGCATCAGTTTCCGTGGCTGCTGTAACAAATGCCACCTGCTCAGTGGCTTGAGACAACTCAGGTTTGTCATCTTACAGTCCTGGAGGTCAGAAGTCTGACGAGTTTTGGGGGCTAACGTCAGGGTGTCGCCAGCCAGAGCTGGTTCAAGGAGTCAGTTTCTTGTCCCTTTTATCTTCTTTTTTTTTGAGTTGGGGGTCTCACTCTGTTGCCCAGGCTGGAGTACAGTGGTACGCCCAGCGAATTATTTATTTTTGTAGACATGAGGTCTTGCTATGTTGTCCAGGCTGGTCTCAAACTCCTGGGCTCAAGCAGTCCTCCTGCCTCAGCCTCCCAAAGTCCTGGGATTACAGGCTTGCGCCATCGGGCCTGACCGCCTTTTCTGTCTTGTAGAGGCTTTCTGAATTCCTTCCCTCTTGGCCTGATCATGCCAACCCGCTTCCATTGTCACACTTTCCTGTGTCATTTCCCTCTTTCACTTACCAGGACACTTACAATGACACTGAGACCACCTGGTCACCCAGGATCAGCTCCCAAAACTCCACCCATTTTTCTGCTCACAGCTCTCAAAAAGAAAGACCCAAGTCTTCCCAGTGACCTTTGAGGTATTGTATGTCACTCAGCTGACATCCCCTCCCCCTCGAGACACCGGCTTCTTCCTGCTCCCTGGACACCTCCAGGCCTTTTCCAGCGCCTTGCTTAGATGTATCTGTCCTGGGTGTCTCAGCTCAAATGTCACCTTCTCCAAGAGACCCACCATCTTCGCCCCTCCGGACCAGCCATCTCCCCACCCCCACACGGCCGCCAGCCCACCCTCTAGTCGCCAGAGATCCTGCTACCAGGAATTATCTTAAATGATCTGCTTTATTTATTGATTTCGTGCCTGTCTGCCCCAGATAAGAATGAGACCACCAACTGGGTCTGCCTTGCCAGCTGTCGAGCCCTCCAGCTCACAGCACCCTGTCCAGACGCTTTGTAGGTGACCAGCATGGGTCACTTGTGTGCCCGCCAGGACTGGCCAGCGTGGAACAGACAGGGCGGAGGGGGCAGGGCGGCCCTGCCCGCCCGGACAGCTCGGAGAAGGCGGGAAAACGAGACGGGGAAAAACCAGCAAACGAGCCCTGCGGGTGGGTAGCACTGGCGGGCCCGGCGCTAGGCAGTGGGGCTTGGGGCGGTTAAGCCAGCCATCGGGGGGCAGGTGGTCACTCCCGGAGGGCCCCCACGTTCTCTCGCAGTATTTGGACGTTGACTCCGGCCTTCTTAGCACTGCTGGCCAGTGCGTGGCCAAGGAAGAGAGCTGCGAGTGCGCCTCCGAGGCCCGGGGGTCTCTACTCTGGGGTCCCCAGGGCTCCCGGGGCGCAGGCATGTGGGGGGACCCAGGTCCTGCCACGCAGCCCTTTTGCACACCGGCCGCGCCCAGCAGAGCGCGCAGGGCTGGGCGGGGCCGAGGCCGGCG